CTTTATCTTTATTGTTGAAAGTATTACAAATGTCCCTATTTTCCCCCCATTGATCTCCTCCACCCCACATTCGCGCCACCCCAGGCCTTTTCCACACTATTGTCTGTGTCTCTGGGTTGTGCATATATGTATATAAGTTCTTTGGTAAATCTCTCCCCACCCATCTCCGCCCTCCCTCTGACGTCCCTCAGGCTGTTTCACGCTTCAGTGTCTCTGGATCTATTTTGTTCATCAGTTGTTCATTAGATTCCACATATGAGTGAGATTATGTGGTACTTGTCTTTCTCTAACTGGATTATTTCGCTTAGCATAATACTCTCCAGGTCCCTCCACGCTGTCTCAAAGGGTAAGAGGTCCTTCTTTTTAACAGCTGCATAGTATTCCGTGGTGTGAGTGTCCTACAGCTTTTTTATCCACTTAAATATGGAGCTGCCATTTGACCCTGTTATTCCACTTCTAGGAATATATCCTAAGAAACCCAAAACACCAGTCAGAAAGAATATATGCACCCCTATGTTCATAGCAGCGCAACTTACAATAGCTAAGATCTGGAAACAGCCCAAGTGCCCATCAGTAGATGAGTGAATAAAAATATTTTAAAAAATCAATGAAAAATCAGTAAATTATCTGAGACTTGTGATTTGGGACAGCAAATCATCTTATACATTTTATGCATGATTCCTGTAATTTCAGTGTGAAAAGATCTTTTTTTAAAATATTTTTTTATTGATTTTAGAGAAAGAGGAAGGGATAGGGAGAGAGAGGTAGAAACATCCATGATAAGAGAGAATCATCGATCAATACCTCCTACACTCCCCCTCCTGGGGATCAAGCCTGAAACCCAGGCATGTGCCCTAACTGGGAATTGAACCAGTGACCTCTTAGTGCATGGGACGATGTTCAGCCAGCTGAGCCACGCTGGCCTGGCAGTGTGGAAAGATCTTAATGTTAAATCTTTAGTAATTAAAATACATGAGTTATGGGAATATTTGAGAGGTCAACATCTTATCATATATGTAAACACTTAGTGGTTGATAATTGCTGTATTTTAACTCAGTTGTGAAACTGATCACATACATGTCATTAGGGGGTAAAAAAACCTACAAACAAACATGCATATGTTCAACTTCCCACTGTGTAAGCAAAAACATAAATAAAATGTGATGCTTAGAAGACCGTATAGATCAATAAGCATCTTAAAAGCCTGGAGGTAAAGGGGAAAACCTATAATGAACATTTTTTCTGCATTAAAAAATGCCATGAAATCAAAATTAAAACAGTGCCCCTGAAGGAGGGAAGAGTGCATACATTTCCCCAGGAGTTTTTGTGTGATCAGACCAGTATTTAACAGGTTACATGTCTATACTCATAATGCCTTACCATTTATGTCTTTAGAAATTGGCCTTGCACTCTGTTTATTATTGAGTTAAATTGAACATTTTGGAGCTTTGAAAACTCAGTTGATTTTCGTTTTTCATGGTACATAGATTCTATAAACATGCTGCACACACCGAATTACAGAGTTGTGAACTGTTGCTCCTGGGCGCACACAGTTCGTTTTCTGCAAGCCTCTAGTCACAACATGTTCATCATTCCTTCAGTACATGACCTCATGTTGTGTGTTTCTGCTTAAAGACACCTCGTTTAACTGATAACTGTTGACTCACCAGTGCTCGGCTCACAGCAGCAGCGCTGTGACTCCCGCCTGAAGGAAGCTTGTCTAACACATGCATCTCCCCATGAGGCAGCCCCAGCCTCCTCTCAGGAACACAGAGCACACTCAGCACTACTTTCGGACCAGTATAAACAACAGGGTCACCAACAAAAATCACAAAGTGCAAAAAAAAGTGGCAATAAATAGACTGTGAAAAGGACACTTGCTTACAATATGAGCTGTAGCCGTATCCTGTTCAGCTCAACTGGGACAGCATCAGATGACTCGGAGTTTTCACTGCTCTGCCCCTGGCCCAGAGTATTGATTCGGAGGTTGCAGATCAATTTCAGCAAGTGGGCAGATCCACAGATAAGAATCTACCTATATTGAGGAGCAACTGTATGTGCTTTTCTCCCTTTTCATTTAAGGTTAATTTTGTTCTGTTTGCTGCTACTCATTATCAGAATTGTAAAGTTATGTCTTGTTAACACTTAGGTTAAGTTAAAGTACAAATACAAAGCCAGGATCTTTCTGGAGGAAAGCCTTTCATTTGGAGTCCTGGGAGAGCACGGCCGAGGAGTCACTGAACACTTTGGAATCAATGTAAGTTCTCCTTTTTTGGAACCTCCCCTCCTGTAGGAGATATGCAGTCTCATCCTGCCGAGCAGGTTCATGTGCACTGGCAGTGCTCCTCATGGGCGTGCAGGGCCTGCCGCTCTGGTGTCTGCTCTTCACGGTGCCCGCGGAGGATCGGTCAGCACTGGCAACTCAGAGCGGTTCAAAGTGGAATCTGTGTTGTGGTGATGTGGCAGCATTGGATCCTGGTTCTCAGTGTCTCTTCTCTAGAAGCAGATAAATTTGCCTTCTGGTTTTTTTCTTACAATCAGTAAGAATTCCCTAAGTAGTCCTTTAGAAAGTGTCTGTGATGGCAGTGAGAGGATGTCCTTTTAATATTTGAAGTCCTGACACATAAACATATATGTACATATATATACACACATACTCTTACATCAGGAACACCACTGGCATGGGTTCAGCAAAGCCCCTTAGAGTCCCAAACAGCTGAATGAATTTGTCATGTTACTTTTGCTGAAGGGAAGTGAGCCCCCGCTGTCCCAGTGGTTTGTGCTCCTGGAGCCTCAGGGAGAAGTGAGTCAGTCCATCTGCAGAACCTGTCTTCACCCTGCACTGTGTATAGTCCGGCTGAAGGACGCTTTCTCCAAATCCTGTGCATAAAAGTTCTGCAACCTGTGTTAACAAGTTGAACTATAAACATAAAATCCCCCTAGAGGAACCGCATCCACTACCCATACAGTCCTGGAGAAGCTAGACTGACATGTGCTCCTCAAAGACAAGCACTGAGGAATCGAAGATAAAATGGAAGCGTAATTTAAGCAAAATTTAAGGCATGACAGTGTGAAGGAGGAAAAAGCATGTCCAGTGTCTCTGTCTAGTTCTCAAGTGCTTAATCACCCGTCTCAGAGATGTATACGTGAGACCTTGAGGAGGAGCACCGAGTATAGGGGCCTGATTTGAATCCCAAGTCAAACACAGGAGCAAGCTTCATGAGACAAATGTTTAAACCAAATAGTTGATATTAAGAAATTTCTCATTTTTTAGGTGTGATAATAGTTTTATTATTATGTTTTTGAAGGAATTGATGAGGGTTGTGAGGGTTGTAGGGGGGCTGTACATGGAATGAGATTATCCACGAGTTGAACTTTGAATCTGGGTGATGGGGTTCTTTTTCTATTCACTTTACTTTTGTATATGTTGGAACACTTAGCAAAATACCAGATTTGGTCTGACCAGTCATTGTCGTGGCCATCAGTGAGTAACTATTGGATGGTTACCATGTAGCCAGGATGAAACTTGGTTCTGGAGCTGGAGTGGAAGGTGAGGATCCCAGGAATACTTAAGGAGTTGAGAAGCTAGTGGGAACTCAGAAGCCCATGAACTACGTTAGGTTCGTCCACTGCCCAGTTTGTCCACTGTGGTCAAAGAATTGCTTGCCATGTATGATTTCATTTTTGAAAAGATGAAAGGTAAATGGAATGTAGGAACCAAGTGCTTAAAACTCAGGTTTTATTTAAAACCTCAAGTACCTTCTGTGGGGAAGGCCAGGAGATGGTTTTATTTTGTACCTCTGAATACTTTTAGTATCAAACAGCTTCGGATTTCATCATCTTCTAATTTATCTCTCTCTTTCATGGCGTATAAATGTTAATGCGTGATGAAATGGCACTTTCAGGAGGGCTTTGAAACATCAGTCCTTTTAATGATAGATTTTATGTGGTTTACCCTCTATTTTGCGTAAGTAGTTTGTAGAGCCCAGATGTTGACATGGTGAGTGCTGAAATTTTGTCTCTAGGCTTGAAATTGGTCTGTTTCAATCAAGGAGTCATTGACACGGTGCCTCTTTCCTGGCAGATAGATGATATTGACCTCATCAGTGCCAACATGGAGAATTCACTGGCTTCTATTGGGGGTTTCTGCTGTGGCAGGTCTTTCGTAATTGACCATCAGGTAGGTTCTTTTAAAACAAAAGCAGCAGCTGAAATGCATTGCTCCTTGGTTGCCTCAAGATGTAACTTATAATTAAAAGCCTTCACAGTAAATCACACAATTTTTATTTATTGTTAATCTTCATCTGAAGATATTTTCTCTGTTGCTTTTTAGAGAGAGAAGAAGGGGGGAGAGATGTATTTATGTTTTTAACTTGTTTGTTTCTTCTCAGCGACTTTCCGGCCAGGGATACTGCTTTTCAGCTTCGTTGCCACCCCTGCTAGCTGCAGCTGCAATCGAGGCCCTCAACATCATGGAAGAGAGTCCAGGTACAGCCAGGAAGTCAGACTGTGCAAGTCACATTAGCCATGCTGCCGGTGTGCTTTTTGGAGGAATTAGCTAGAGGAAGTGATTGGTCTGATAGCTCCAGTCTGAATTTCACTCCCGGCATTAGTAGAAGGAGCAGCAGTGCAGCAGTTGTCCTGCATCTGGGAGCGGGTGCAGCCGTCTCTCCTGTCCCAGAGCTGGGGCCAGAGCCTGGCTCCCTGGGTGGGTGGGGCTGCCCACAGGAGGGGGCTCAGTTCTGGACCATTTGTCATTTGGTTTATCTTTTTGTTTTAGAAATTAGCCAAAGTGTGCTACTAATTTTTGTTATATATGTTTTATAAGTATTGTCTAGTTTCCCTTCAGCTCTTTTGCATCAACAGTTGGTACCTAGTTTAAGAACCTAATGGTTACTTAACGGGCAAAGTCGACTAAATTTATTTATTTATTTATTTTTAAATATATCTTCATTGACTTTAGAGAGAGGAAGGGAGAGAGAGAGAGATAGAAACATCAATGATGAGAGAGTCATTGATCGGCTGCCTCCTGCAGGCCCCCAAATGGGGATCAATCCTGCAGCCCAGGCATGTGCCCTGACCGGGAATTGAACCCCCATCTCCTGGATCCTAGGTCGACGCTCAACTGCTAAGCCACACCCCGCTGGGCTGGACTAAATTTAAAACATGGCTTTGGCTGTGACCATGCCTACTCACCAAAGCCTGAAACAGAACTTGAGAGACAGGCATTATCTGGTATTTCTGCATTTTAAATTTTCAGCTTTGGTCTTTCTTCAGAGAATCAGGAAACATGCGTGTTTTCTCTGCACTTTCGCGTTCCTGCTCGACAGGTGGCCTGGCCCTCCTGCTCAGGTTGTTTAGAGTTTTCCTGAGGAAAGGGAAAAGATCATAAACATTATTACATATAGTCTCTATTTTTTACCAACTTGTTTGCCAATTTATTTCTGTAACATCTTGGTGCCCTTTTATTCTTAAACAGATTGTAGAATTTTGATGAGAGCAAGAGCCACTATTCTGCTGTAGAAAAACGCCATCCCAAATATTGCTGAAAGGGGTGTAAAGGTATCAGTGTGTGCCAAGGACGAAAGCTGGCGCCTCTAGAGGCGTATCTGGCCGCCTGTCTGTGTTATTAGTATGTAGAAGGATTTGCAGCATTTTAAATTGATGAACTTGAACTGGATCTTTAAAAATAGTTTTGGATTAATATCAAGTTTCCCAAATATATAGTTGCCCCTTGAGCAACATGGGTTTGAACTGCACAGGTCCACTTATATGCAATTTTTTTCAATAAATACCTGAACTGTTTTGGATCTGCTATTGGAAGTCGAGGGTGCGAGGGTGTGCTGCGTTCATTGACCTGTGTCGTCATACTCGCCTGTGGATTTCGGTATCCCCACAAATGCTGAAGGACAGCTCAAGGTTTTGAGAAGTGGAAAGTTCAAGGCAGGTTTTCTAACGCATGTTGTTCAAGGTGCAGCTGTGCCATGGAATGTTTTTTTTCCACCCAGGTATTTTTGCAGTGTTGAAGGAAAAGTGCAAGAGAATTCATAAAGCTTTGCAAGGGTAAGTTTTACAAGTTTTCAGCCAACTTAAAGTTTATCTGCTGCACATATAAACTAATGAAAAATTTTGAATGTCATTTCTTTGGTTTTGGGTACAGTTTATAGGCTTGGGTCAGTTTGACTTAAATTGCAACTAAGAAACCAAAACCTCAGTTCACCCACATCTGTCTGTGTGTGTGAAACCAGAGCCTCTGTTGGGTCGTTAAAGAATCAAGATTGTTTTTCTAAAAAAATGATACAGGCTCATCACTAAAATATTATAGCAGTGTACAAGATAAAAACATCAAATAACCCAGCACGCAGCCACAGAAGTGATCAGCGTAAAGCCCGGAGACTCCACGTCCCTACGAGCAAGAGGCGCAATTCCCTGCTGCGTCACTAGACGCCAGTGCCCGCACTGCCGACATTCTTTTTAGAGAGTCACTAAGTTTCACTTCAAGTTAATATGGCAAAAAGAAACAAGTGAAATGGGAGGGAACCTTATGAGTGGTTTATGTGTTTTTAACAACACACGAGCACTTTAAGATTCCTCCAGAGCTCAGAAAAAATGAGGCTGGTGACATTTTCAGGCAGATTTCTGGTCTTAAAGAAAATGATCTCACGTTGCCAGGTTGTTTCTTGTTATGCCAGATACGGAAAGAAAAAGACAGGTGGAAAAGGAGGAGATCACAGCTGTTCTGATACAGTAGGGGCAGAAGTGATTAAAGTTCTGGGTGTGTCTGCCTCGTAGCAACAAAGGTTCCTGCATGATTTATGGTGGAGAGATTACAATTTGTATTGATTCCAGTCACATTAGGTTATGAAATATTAATCTACCAATGCGGGCAGCATGGGCGCCGCTGTCAGTTCAGAACAGTCACCCTTCTGTCTGGCAGGGTTGACGCCCTGTCTTCTCTTTGGGATACTGAGGCCCAGCCTTCTGTCTGGGGTGCTCAGGCTCTGCCTTCTGTCTCTCTGGGGTGCTGAGGCCATGCCTTCTCTTGGAGGTGTTCAGGCCCTGCCTTCTGTCTGGGGTGCTCAGGCATTTTGTTTGTAAGTCCTATCCCCCACTTCTCCCAGCTCTTTACACCTTTTCGTCTCCAACATCCTTACCCTCTGTCTCTCTCCACCTACTTCTAGCTGACAAGCATGCCTCATGCTGTCACTTGGGAACTCCTTCATTTTCCTAACAAACCTGTGCACTTATGGGTGTCCGAGCCAGTCTTCCCTGTATTACAGCTAAGAAATGTCCCTCCAGCCATCACAGCCCCTCTTCCTAAACGCTGAGTGCCTTTGGCTGTCCCCTCCTCTCTGTCCTGGGTCTTTCTGGTCCCGAGCCGCGTGACTACATTCAGGCCCATGGCCCTCTCACACTCCTTTCCTTGACCTCACCTTTTCCTCTACGACTCGCCCGTGCTCTGCTTCTCCTTAGCTCATCTTCTCCGGGATTGTGTGCTTTCTCCACAGCCTCACCTCTCTCATTTACACTTGAAACTCCTGAACCTGCCTCTGCTCTTACACTTCACCACTGTGCCTGTGAAGCCACCGGTGACTGCTTGTTGCCGAGTCCAGCAGACGGTCCTCAGAGCTCATCTCGCTGCCCAGGAGCCTCAGCACAGCTGACTGCTTTCCTTCCCAGCTCTCTCTCTCGGCTCTGTTACAACAAACTGGTCTTCTACCTCTTTGAATTGCTTCATCTTGTTCTCCTTTGACTGGTTGAATCTCTCCACCCTTTCCTTTAGAGCCCGATCCATCAGCTACTACTGTTGCTTGTAATACTTTTCCTTGAGATTTTTCTGGAAGCATAATGCCTCCTTGGTTAGTTTCCGCAGCACTCCTTCCAGCTAATACTCGGTCAAAGCCTTTCTTTTGGCACCGTCCTCTTCAGGGCTTAGTCTGTGGTCCTTTTTTCTGTTACCTTCTTGGAAAATCGTGCTCTTCCACCCCTGGGGCTTCAGATCCTGACACCTATATGTGGACAGCTCACAAATTTGCATCTCCAATGCTTCCCGCTCTTTAGGGTTCCGGGTCTCACATCCAGAGGCTCACTTAGTATCTCTTGGAGGACTCCACAGGCACCTCATACCACACACACAGTAAGGCAAGTTTGGGAGCATGTCACATAGGTATCTCGATACTTAGGGGTAACAGAAAACAAAACAGCAAGGACATCAGTGCTGCAAGAGGGGAAGACAGGCCAGGGATGCAGGGCCTTGGAGGCCGTGACAGGACCGGGCACAGATAGGAAGCCATGGCCTGGTTCTGAGCAAAATACGGCATCATGTGACTGAGCTTCCATCTTAGCAAAACTGCTTTTGTGTTGTGTGAAGAAATATCTAATATTCTGTGGTGGCAAGTACAGAGACAAGGAGACCAGTGAGAAATTGTGCAGTGCTGCATGTAAAAGATGATGGTGACTTCAGATGTATTTTGAAGGTGGGTTTCCTGGAAGTTCATATTCGGGGTGAGTGAGAAAGAGAAGACTCAAGCTTGGGCTTAAGGTATTTGGTCTGAGTAACTAGATGGAGTTGCTAGTAAGTGAGATGGTTAGAACTGTTCGGGGAAGTTTGTTGGGTAAGTTTGGTGTTGAATATGTTAAGCTCAAAATGCAATCAGACGTCCAGGAGTGTGTAGCAGTTGGATATACAATTTTAAGTTTAAGGGAGAGGCCTGAGCTAGAGATACATTTTGGAGTCAGTTGCATATAAATAGTATTTCAAACATTTCATTGCGAAGAGGTCAGGAACCAGCCAGGAGACTGAGAAAGAGTGCGGAAAAGGCAACCAGGGGAGTCTACTGCAGAAAGTGTGCGTGGGTCAGCATGGCACGCACCGCTGCTGGCGGAGCAGACGGGCACTGACTCACAGGCTGTTGCACTCGAGCAGTTTCAGGGGAGCAGCAGGTGCAAAAAGCCTCATAGAGGCAGGTTTCAGAGAAACTGGGAAAGGAGGGATTGGACACAGCTCTGTAACTATTTTGAGTCTTGCTGTTAAGAGGAACAGAGAAATGGGATGGTGAATGGGGAAGAGATTGGGTCAGGAGAAGGACGTCTTGGTTTGTGTTAGTCTAGTGCAGTCTGTTTATGAATGTCCAAATGTCGCAGCCTTTCTTCGGTAGCTGGAGACCAGCTCTCTGTCATGTACCAGTTTCCCAGCTGTACCCGAATCTGGCTTTTAGCTGTCTTTTCTCCTTCATTAGTTTATCTGCTCAATGCTCTGTTTTTCTTATTACTATTTCTGTTCTTATCACTATGTAACTTTTGGTATATGTGCGGTGAAAGTGAGCACAATCAATATATAAGTTTTGGAATAACTTTGGGTTTTGCCAAAAGTAGTACTAGAATTTTCATTGTAATTGTATTAAATGTTCTGATTAATGTGGAGGGAATATATATCCACTTCCTGGAATTTTCCTTTGTGTCCTTTAATAGAAATTTAAAAATTTTCCCTGAAGCTCTTTTACCTCATGGTACCTTTAAGGGTAATTTGTAGATATCCTATAGATTTTGTTCCTATTATGAGTAGAGTTGTCTTTTATATTTTCTAATTATTGCTGATTTATAAGAATGTTAAAGATCTTATTAATTCCAGCAGTTCTTTTCCTTCTGTTGTGATGATGTTCATAAAAACCCTGTTATCTTTTTCTTCTTATATTGCATTGGTCTGGGTCTCTGATACTCTCTTGAACTGGCAGTCAGAGCATACATCCTTCTCATTCCCAATATAAAGTGTTTTCTTAATTCAGTATAAAACATCATACAGTAGGGGTTTGCTGGGTGGCCTCTATCAAATTATTCCTAGGTTTGGAGACTTTTTAAAAATTATAGATTTGTCTAATGCTGAATTGCATTGATATATTTCCTTTTTAAATTTGTATTGTTGACAGTATTACAGATGTCTCCCATTTTCTCCCTTTTTGCCCCCCTCCACCTAACCCCCACCCCACCCCAGGTCTTCCCCATGCTGATGTATTTTCTGATGTTAAGCCATCCTTGCATTTCTGACTAGACTCCTTTTGATTACAATTTAATTTTCTACACTATTAGATTTAGTTGGCTTATATTTTAGTTTGGATTTTTACATCTATACTTATAATTTAAATGGACCTGAAGAGTGTTATGGTAAGTGAAATCATCCAGCCAGAGAAAGATGAGTACCCTATGATTTCACTTATATGTGGAATTTAATGAACAAAATAAACTAACAAAGTTTATTTAGGAGACAGACCCATGGATACTAAGAACAGACTGACAGCTGTCAGAGGGGAGGGGTGGAGGGTTGGGTGAGAAGGTGAAGGGATTAAGCAAAGGGGAAAAAAAAAGACTCCTGGACACAGACAACAGTGTGGTGGTTACCAGAGGGAAGGAGGTGGAGGGAGGTGCAGAGGGTAAAGGGGTACATGGTGACGGAGGAGACTTGACTTGGGTGGTGAACACACGATACAATATACAGATGATGTATACAGAACTGTACACCTGAAACCTATATAATTTTATTAACCATTGTCACCCCAGTAAATTCAGTTTTAATAAATAAATGGTTCTATAATCTTTTATACCAAGCTTATGTAGCCTAGGAATCAGTGTTCTGGTAGCCTTGGTGAACGGCTGAGCAGCTCTCCCTTTTCCTGCTTAGGAAGCCACCACGTAAGCCAGGCTCGCTGTTTCTCCAGAGCTGGGCTGGACCCCACCCCTGCAGGTCTAGGCTTGGGCCTTTGCATTGGGGATGGTCAGTGACTGTCTCTCTGTGTCTACGTTATTCCCCCTTAATATTTTGTGTTTTTTATTTTTATGATAAACTTCCCAGAAATTTACCTAGCTCATTGTTTTTAAATTTAATTTTGTTTGTGTTTTTATCATTCTTTTTCATTGAGGTCTTCCTTCCTTTTCTTCCGTGTTTGAATTTGTTCTTACTCTTTTTAGCTTCTTACATTTAGGTTATTGGTTTTATTTCTTATTTTTCAATAAATTTCTTAAAAGATAAACAATATCAAAGTCAGTGATCAACATTCACATCTAAGTAATTAGTCTCCTTTAATCAGTGATTCTCTTCTCTCACCTCCAAGGTTGCGTTTGGGAGAAGTCAGCAGCCTGTGCTGGTTTGGTTGCCTGCTGGAAACTTGAAGAGTCCCTAAATTCTAGCAGAGAGTTACTCGTGTCCAGCTTGCTTCCCAGACTGTAAGCACATGATGGACACCTCGTCTGAACTGTTGATTGGTCTATCCTGGGACCTAGCCCAGTGCTTAGTATTTACCCATATGGATGAAATAACATGCTTTCCAAAATTTTTAGGTCCTGAAACACAGCTTTTAAGCTTCTGAACTCAAGCTATCATTTTGTGTCCATTTGTGTGTGTTTTTTTAATACTTATTAAATTTATTGGGGTGACGGTGGTTAATATGAACAGAGGTTTCAGGTGTGGATTTTCTATGTTACAAGATTTTTATATTGCTCTGTGTGTCTCCACCACCCAAAGTCAGATCTTCTCCATTTGGTTTTAATGACACTTGCACCTAACATTCAGCCATGGCAGCCAGAGCGAGGGCACTTTGTTTCCTTCCTTCTCCCACCAGCCCCACCCACCATGTGAGATGAGCCTGTTTGGTTGAAGCACAGGCTTAGCTGGGCTGTAGGTGCCCTGTATGTATTAAGAAAAATCCAGGCCCAACCAGTGTGGTTTAATGGTTGAGCATCAAACCATGAACCAGGAGGTCACGGTTCAAGTCCTGGTTAGAGCACATTTCCAGGTTGTGGGCTCGATCCCCAGTGGGGGGCGTGCAGGAGGCAGCTGATCGATGATTCTTATCATTGATGTTTCTCTTCCTCTCCCTTCCTCTCTCTGAAATCAATAAAAATGTATTTAAAAAGAAAAGAAAAATCTGGGGCATTTAATTCATATGAAATGCTATTTGGGAAGCAATTTTTAAAATTCTCCCCTGCGAGTACATGACCTAAAAAGAATTGGTACTTTCTTTTGTACAAGTTTAACACAAAGTTCACATAGGATATGGGTTTTGAAAGCATATTGCTTTGCTTCTACATTAGTAAAGAAAACTAATCTAGAAGGTTCTCCCACATTCCAGACCCCAGATTCTAAGACTCTGTGGTTTGAATTTGCAGCTTGGTTTATTACAAGATCATAGCATGGTGTATGGCATTCAGAGAAAGGAGACACAATTTAATACTGTGCAAGGGCTGGTTGAGAGCCAAGCCAGGTTAGCGTCTAGTGCCTCACATGCTTCTTGGCATGTGGTAGACATTTAGTAAAAGCTTGTTGAGTCCTAAACATAACCCTGGAATCAGGGATGCTACCAGGTGCTTTCTGCCCCATGTCATCCTGAGGGAAGAGTAAACATTTCCAGGTAAAACACACTACATGAAAGCAACTCAAGATATTTAACCTGATTTCAGATAAAGATACATTACCGTTTGTGTTCCAGGAGATAGGCCAAAAATCATCCTTAAAATCTCCCTCCCTGGGAAGTAGCAGATTTTTGTGCTGTTAACCCTAACAAAGAAGAAAATAATTAACTCAGGTAAAATTTAAAATTAAACATACAAATACGGCGGAGACTTTTCAATCAAAACATATTGCTGGTAGTCAAATAACATTTTCAATATCAGAAATTATTCCTATGATTTTTGAGAAGATGAGATACAGACTAAAGACTTAAACGGCGAGCAAGGAAACAGTGTTACGACTAGTAATGAGTAGGAGGTGGAGTGAAGGAAACCAAGTACAGAGAATGGTGCACAGACCCCTCCCCCATGGGAGTGACACGGCCGAGAGGCATGTGTGCTGCAGTGGAAGGCTGGGGGAGGAAACAGCAGGGCAGAGGCCTGGGGCTGGGGCCTGCGAGGAGCCACATGAGGGGTCACCTGAGCCCAGGTAGGTGAGGGAGCAAGGCCTGCAGACCTAGTGGGAGACTGGAGGTAACACCTGTGCTTTCTTTGATATGTGATCCGGGGTGTCCACCGGCGGGGCCCTGGACTAGAGCTTTGCCCAGAGCATGCCTTGGACTTTTGTCTGAACCAGAATCCCACCTCAGGATGTTTCTTGTAAAAGTCACAGTCTCTGTGACATTCGTTAATGCAGACTGTGTGCAGTCATCTGTGTGGAGACCCCTGAGCCTGGAAGGGGCTTGGGCTCTGACGTGTGTTTTCCCTCCCTCAGCATTTCTGGATTGAGAGTGGTGGGAGAGGCCGTGTCCCCCGCGTTCCACCTGCAGCTGGAAGAGAGCACTGGGTCTCGGGAACAGGACATCCAGCTGCTTCAGGAAATCGTCAGTCAGGCAAGTGTCCCTCTGTCCCAGCGAGTCTCCTTGTACTCCTCTCCTGAACCAAGAGCTTTCTGTCATTTTTCAGAGCTCTCTGCCTCAGGATAGGGTATAGTGGAGGTCGCTGGCCGCTGTCGGCATTGAGTCTGGAGCCCGTGTCTGGCAGGAGCAGCTCTCCGCTGGGTCCGCTCTCAGCTCGAGCTGGAGGCGCTGTGTTCTGTGCCACATTGTATCAGAGTGGAAGCACGCTCCGCTTCTACTCTGAATAACTGGCCTTCCAGACAACCCTTTTGCTTACTGTTTACAAAGACGGCGTTGTGTGGCGGCCCCATGCCACACTGGACAGCAGCCCACTGGCGAATCCCCAGCCTGGCTCAGAAACAGGCCATAATGATCTTTTAACCAGAAAGGAAGGAGGACCACTGTGTAACCATGCCTAATTTGGGAGATTGATTTCAATGTCTTTATCGTCTAAAAGTCAGTTTATTACTAATTGTAACTTAGTTATTAATGAGAAATGCTCCCTGGGGAAGACCACTAGCCCTTTTCTGCTCAGTAGATCTGCGCCTCCTGGAGTCCTCCCCTCACTTCCCTCCATGCTGCTCCTCCTCAGAAATGTCCCGGGGCCCTGCAGCTCTGGGAGTGAGCATGCCTTTCACTTCATCTGAGGTCCATCAGAGTGCATTTGGGAGTGAAAATGGGCTACGCTCTCCTTCCCTGACCTGCTGTTCCTGCTGCCGTTTCCTTCCAGGGACTCCTCTCCGGTCCCTGCCACTGGCCCCAGGGTTTTGTGATGGCTACATCTGTCCTGTGCCTTTGCCTGGCTCTGGCTGAGGTCAGGCCCTGCCCACAGACAGGCACGTGGCTGCTCAGGATGGGAACCACAGTGTGAAGCCAACCACTGGCTTCACAGCTTGCTTTAGGTGTCCTGTGTCTTGTGGTGTGTGAACCACAGCACCTGGAGTAGCAGATTCCTGGACAGCTTCTGGAGTCATGGCTTCTAGAGTCAGTCCTCTTAAAAACCCAAAATATTATCAGGCCCAGAATGTGAGATTCCTAATTAGGCTGGAGTGATTCGGCCTGCTGCGTGAGGAAATGTCACAGATGTCCCCTCAGGTACAGACAGCTCCCCAAGCGCAAAAAACACAGGCTTTTTAGAGGGACAAGCATCCTACCGACCACAATATTGCCTTGGTGTTTTTATTGTAATTTTACTTAAAAGTGTACAGAAAAAAGATAGTTACAGCATCCTCGATATTAGAGTTCTTAAACACGATACCAAAACACATTTGTAACTTACACACAAGCTGACAAGTCAGTCCAGGAGCTCAGTGTCATCACACTGCCATTCCTTGGCAGTGAGCTTGTCCCCAGACTGGACGGCCTAGGAGTGTGGCGGGTGTGACTCTGCAGGGCATGCTGGGACCTGCAGTGGGTGGGACAGGGCCTCCTCCAGTGCGCGGGGACAGGGCTGCCTCCAGTGCTCGGGGCCAGAGCCTCGTTAGACCCACCTCTGTGCCTCTCACTGCACAGCAGCGACGCAGGTCTCACTACTGCTCTGTGCAGAAGAGGCGCCGAAGAGGGCAGGCAGTGAGGTGAGTCGGCGCTGACATCCTGCTCCGTTGTCTACACTGGCTGCCCGGCTTCTCTCCACTGTTCCTTCCAGTGATGGAGATGGAAGAAGCGTGGAGCTGTGGCTCTCGTTTAAGCTTCGTAGAAGCGAGAAGTTTTATCAAGTGTGTGTTGAGTTGCTTGTGCAAACTGAGTGATGGTCGATCGATGATGCCCTTAACTAGCAGGCTGGAAGCAGCCGGTGCGGGCCCAGGGCACTGACCACACAGGCACAGCTCGGGTGTGTCCACCTGGCGTCTGGTCCTTCCCAGCAGGAAGCCTGCCCTGCGGCCTGCAGAAGGTGCGCTCCGGCGGCTGCTCTCTGTCCACCACTGTTTCAGAGTTCACAGTTGAGAGGTTTTTCATACACACAGGTGTGCAGCTATCACTAACTCCAAACGTTCTCCTCTCCCCAAAGAACCCCCGTAAGTCCCTACTGTCATGCTTGCTGCGTTTCGATGGAGGATGTTTCCGTTCTGAAGCTGTCGGCAGGTGGTGAGGGCGTGGGCACCCGCACGGTGTGGCAGCCGGCTGGTGTGCCGGGAGCACCTGCCGCGGAGCAGCCAGGGTCGGGCACCGCTGGTGCTCAGAGTGCGAGCACTTTCTTAGATGTTCTGCTCCGTAGTCTTGTCCAGCGGGTGGTCGTCCTGCGGGCTCTGCTGGCACCGTGCCCCGTCCCAAACTTGGCTTTGTCTGGAGTGGCTACTAGCTGCTGCGGCCGTTTCCGTTCAAGTGAAGTAGGACTGAAAGCCCAGCCCCAGGGCGCTGGCTGGACCTCAGGGGCCGGACAGCCACGTGGGCTCCTTCCACGGAGCTGGATGGTGCAGAGCAGACACATTTAGCCGGGGGGCTCTGTTCAGGGGGGTCAGTCTCGCCCGGCAGCCGCAAGTGGAAACGCGCATTAGAGCTGCTGTGGAGGGTGGTGCCTCAGGGACCTGCGGTTGTGCTTCACAGCGTCTGCAGCTGGGCTGACTGTCCCTCTCTCTCCGCAGTGCATGGACAGGGGCGTAGCACTGACCCAGGCGCGCTACCTGGAGAGAGAAGAGAAGTGCCTCCCTCCTCCCAGGTTGGTAGACATTCAACTATGGCCCTACTTTTGTTTCCTACTTTAAAATCTGTGTGAAATGTATCATGCTTTGAAGTTTTTTGAAATGCTGGGGAAGGAAGAATGTTTATCGTTATAGTACATCAGCATTGGTTGTCCTTAGAGTAGATGTTTTCATGGTAACTAAGAAGCCCCCAGGGCTCAGGGCATCCTCTTCATTGATTGAAAGAAATGTCTGAGGTCCCAAGAACAAACTGAGACAGCTGAAGTTTTGATCAGCAAATACCCCCACACCCTAAGACAGCACATAGGGTGCCGGCAGCTTCCACCATGGGGACAGTGCTTTTGGCTGGGGCACAACCCTTACAGCACCCTCGGAAGCAGCTGTGGTGGGGAGCGCGGCACAGGGACCTGCGTGGGGTGTGCCTGGCCCAGGGTTTACACAGCACGGGCCCTGCGTGCTGGCCTTCCAGTGCAGCTGAGGTGGGAGACTTGGAGCATGGTGTCTGCAGGGCCAGGGCTTGGGCTCCATGGGGTCACAGAGTTGGCCGGGGGGAGTCTAGCCTGGGAGGGACTTGGGCTTCTGAGAGCAGGTAACACCTAAGCTGAGCCCGGAAAGTCGAATATGTCATGCGGCCCAGTGGGCATCAAGGCCTTCCAGGATGGAGCAGGGTGTGCTTGGCATGGTGGCCGCCAGGTGCAGGCGTGAGCCAGAGCCCAAGCTTGAACGGCAATGGCGAAAGGGAGTTTGGAGAAGTCCCCGGAGGACCTGAGTGCAGACACGGAGGCAGGCTGGGGTTCTGGAGGTCCACCCTGGCAGCAGCTCAAGCACCCTAAGATCCTACCCCCTCCTTTCCCACTGCTCCAGGCAGAGGTGTGATTGAGTATGTCAGGAGGACCGGCTGCGTTTTGTTTTATGCCCTGGGCTCCATGCCCAGCACAGTGCCGCTCAGTAAGCTGTCCAGTAGGTGCAGCAGGTGTTTGCAGGAGGCAAAGGTAGAATTGCCCTGAGGAGCTGATATTTGTCTTCAATTTTCTGCAAACTTGAAAATGTCTGCCTTGCCTCAGAGTATTATAGAAACTTCCACATGACTTTATGGTACAAACATGAGCAGCCAGACAGCACTGATTCCAGACATTGGAACTTGGCCTTGGGTCTGATACTGCCTGAAGCAGTAGGTTACTTAAAAGACCAAGTTTTCTGGCATCCCGGGCAGAGCCCCACTGCAAGGTCACCTCGAGGATACACTCCAGCCGTCCAAGCAGGAGCGACAGACCTCTGTGGACGGCCTGGTGTTAGAAGTTTTCTGCCTGCTGGACATAGGGCCCCTGTCCCCGCCCTCACCTGCTGTAGTGGTGAGACAGCAGCTGCAGCCCGTGGGCCAGCTATGGGCAGGCGGCAAGCTGACCAGTGGGTTTCCTGTGCCCTTTACCCTCTCAGCATTAGGGTTGTGGTCACAGTGGAGCAAACGGAAGAGGAACTGGAGAAAGCTGCGTCTGTGATCAAGGAGGTAGCCCGGGCCGTCCTGCTGTAGTGCGTGTCAGGGCTGGTGGCCTCCGCCCAGCGCAGACAGCTCGGGACTGCTGGAGGGAGCTTCTGGAGGGCTGCACACGCTGGCACTGTCGTCGCCATATGCAGTGGTGGTGGACTTGGCATGACAAAGAAAACACATCTAAAAGCCCAGGAACCGATTGGTTTTTTTTAAAGGAAAACTAATAAGAGTATAACTGGTATTAAGTTGGGCTATTTAGTACTATTTAAATGTTTCATTATACTAGTATTTTATATTCTTTTTTGTTGTTGTCACTGTTTAAAAACGGAGGTCAGCCTCTCTTTTCTCCCTTCTGGTGAAGACTAGGCTTTCGCCCTCCTCAGGCCCACAGGAAACACGCTGTAACCTGGGGGGCGCAGTGTGTCCTCGAAGGCCTGGCTCAGCCGGCTCTCAGTGTCCATCCTGTGAAGCTCAGCTGCGGCGGTTATTATAAACCCTTCATCCTATTTGACTCCTAGGATTTTTATAGACACTAAATATTGATGTTACACCGTTTCTGACGGCCAATCTTACCTCTAGCCAGAGAATAGTCGTTAGACGTCCTTGCGTGAGCGATAGTTTAAACTGGGCCCTGGTCTGTTCTGGTAGATGACTTTCCCCTTTATTATGGGGAGACCTGTCTGCGTTAAGAAGAGGGTTCCTGTGATGATCCCAAGGTGTAAAGTCATGTCCTCGATATTTTAGAATATCTTTAATGTATTCCTCTTTTATATAGTGGGTTTGCCTGGGAACATGGAGCTACCGGCCTAAGGAAAATGTGAAGTTTTTTCTCTTCAGCATAGTAATCCAAATATCCAAAAATGATGTAAGCACTTAGCGAACCCCGGCAGGTGGTGTAAATATTTGTGATGTGCACACATGTTGCATAAATATTATACCATTTGTTCTTTCATTAACAGTAAAGGAATAAATTGTAAAAATGTCATTTTTGTAATCTGTGTTTACCATCTTTTTTTAAAAATCTTCATTGTTGAAAGTATTACAGATATCCCCTCTTCCCCCCGATCACCATCTTCTAAAATAACACATTTTTTAATATTTGGTTTTGATTTGCTTGAGTTATTTCGTACACATGTGCCTTGTGACTGCTGCTGCTGCTTAAAGGATACAGTACTCTTTGCAGGATGAATCTATTTTGTTTGTTTTTTAATGAAAATAAAGTTACATTCTTGATAATGAGCCTATTTGTGTATATAATGTATTCGGCAGAATAGTCCTTTGATTTTACTTCCCTACAATTCTAAGATGGTATTTTTGTGGGGGATGGGCAAGGTAGAAAATATTAATTTCTTGGTACTTTATTTCAGTGTGTGTAGTATCTGAAATTTCCTAGGTTCCTATTAATCTAAGCCTTGGCCACACAGAACTACAAAAATACCAGAACCATTATTTTGTAAATGATGAGGATAGGCACTTAACTACTTTGTACTTTCTATGTCAAAATTGCAACAGCTAGGTGTTTATTGCTACTTTTAAAAATGGCTGTAAGTTCCTGGGAAAGATGGTAGAACACATTATTTAACTCAATCCTTGAAAAATACCAACATTTTAAACAAAAATAATGTCTTTTATTACAAATCTGGTGCAGGTTACAAGTTTCCCTTAGAAATGGGGTTCTGGGGTGCTCTGTGATGGCCCTCTGCTGAGAATGGCGGTGGCTGCCAGAAGCAGCGTCAGTGGCACAACCCCATTTCCACGCAGGGTCGTGTCCCCAGGGGAGGAAGGAGCCACGTGACTGCCCCCCTTCTGCTGTCTGCACTGAGGTTCCAACTCAGCGAAAGCGGGGCTTTGAGGCATTAGGACAGAAAAGAGAGCAGTACCCCAAACCAAACGCGCGTGACGACTGTGTGTGTGTGTGTTGTGCACCCTGCTCTCTAATATGCCATCAATTGTAAGATGCATTTCAGTAATGTGGGTGGGAAAGGGGCATCTTAAAATCTGTGAAATAAGACCATAATCTGGTGTGTGGGCCTGATGCTATATTTCCTGTGGACATAAAACCTTAGTCCCAGAAATAGAGATGTTTGAGGATAATTACAGCCACTAAATCTGAGCATCTCTGCAACACTCCTTATGAAGAAAGATGTCAAGTAAAACCGCAGTGCAGCACAGGGGGTCGTAGAGGGCGCTTAAGCTTTATTTCCCTGCCTGCTGTCTGATGACGAGTATGGACTGGGCAGCGTACGGGTGATGGAGCACAGGTAGATAAAACAAGTAAAAATTCATCTCAACAGCAACATACAAACAAAGTGAAAGTTAGGTTGCATTTTGAAGAGATTGAAGGCAAAAAATGAGTGTGAATCAAGGACTTTATATCCAGAAAAGCTGTCTTTTAAGTGACAAGTGTATAGAAACAAAATCAGAGCTCAGTGCTGTGCTCGTGAGCCTTCCTGAGAAGCTTACTCAGGAACAGCTCCATCTAGTCAAGAATGATGGTCCTGGCCGGGTAGCTTGGCTGGTCAGAGCATCATCCCCTACACACAAGGTTGAAGGTTCAGTTCCTGGTCAGGCACATACCTAGGTTGCGGGTTTGATCCCCGGTGGGGGCACATACAAGAGGCAACCACTCCATCTCTCTCTCCCCCCTCCCTCCTTTCCCCTCTCCCTCAAGTCAATAAACACATCCTCGGGTATTTTTTAAAGAAAGAAAGGAGTAACAGGAAATTTCATCAAAAGGACAAAATAGGAGCAATGAATAAAATTAAATATAAGAATAAAGTAAAGATGGGACAAGTGGGAGAGTAATATATAAATGTTACTCTGACAAAGTAGAAAGAAGTGATAGCAGTAAAATGTGGGAGGGAAAACTGCAGAATATGCTCATTGTGTAGATACAAAAGACAAACCTAAACTCGTGACTTGGGCTAAACGAAAAGAAAAATGGAAACAAAAGGAAGCAGACATAGAAATCCTGATGGCACAAGGTAGAATTCAAGCCAGTAGTCATTAAGCATGGATTGCTTAAGGGCACAATTTAATGATACAACAGTTACAGATAATTTTGCTCTAAATACCACAACGCACACCCCAAGCATATACTATATTCCATAGAGATTCAAGGGAAACTAGAAATACAATCAAGAGTAGCAGGTTGGAACTTTTAGTCCTAGAAAAGTCAAGTGGGAAGGGAATAGGGCTGTAGATGACCTAAGCAATGTGATATGACAGATCACGTGGCAGTGCCAAGCTAGGTGCCTGGATGTTAGAGAATAGCTCGTTCTCAAACACACGGACTGTCACAAGTACTGATCATACATGAGAAAGCACGGATTAACTTCATAGAGTACAAGGTTTGCAAAGAAGCGAAGTGTGGCCCATACTGTCTTCATCACCCCATATAATGCATTTAGCAAAGATTTCAAGGCAGTTATTACAGATATTTCAAAGTATAGGAAACTACGTTTATAAAAAGTAAAGGAAATTATGACAAAGAATAAAATAATCTCATATTTTAAAAGAGTAACATGGAAATAATTCTGGAGTTGAAAAATAAGAAAACGTAAAAAACTCACTAAGAGGGCCACACAGAGGACCAGTAACTTGAAGACAGATAAGTAGGAATCAACCTGAAGGAAAGAGAACATAATGCTTGAAGGAAAGTGAGCAGAGCCTCAGGTGCCTGTGGACAGTGTCAGGCCTCCCAACATGTCTGTATGGGAGAGGCAGAGAGGAGGGAAAGAGAAAGGGGCAAAAAATATATTTGAAGAAATAATGTTAAAAACTCCCCATATTTTATTTTTAAAATGAATCTACAGATTGAAAAATTTCACAAAGTAGGATAAGCACAGAAATTCACATCCAGACACATCATTGTCAAAACGTTGAAAGACAAAGAGAATCTTGAAAGCAGCGAGAGAGAAGTGGCTCACCGTACACAAGGCAGCAACGGTCAGCACTGACCTCGTGGGATAGATAACAAGCCAGAGTGTGGAGCAAAGACACCAAGGTCCTAGAAGAAAAAGCCTATCAACCAAGAATTCAGTATTGGCAAAATCATCCTTCAAAAATAAAAGTGAAGAAAGACATTCCCAGGAGAACTAAGAGTTCATTGCCAGCACATGTGCCTCATAAGAAATACTAAAGGAAGTTCTTCAGGCCGAAAGAAATGACTGTAACAGACAGTAACTAACATCTGCAGGAAGAAGGGAGACCTCCAGAAATGGTAAATATGTGGGTAAGTTTTTTTAAACTATAAATATATTTCCCATTTCTTCCCTTTACTCTTTTAAAAGATACGAGTGTGCAGAGCAATAACTGTAACACTGTTTTGGGAGTTCATAACACACATCTAATATATATGATAATAGCACAAAGAAATAGGGAGTAAAAACAGAAAAGCTCTGTATTCTACCAAATTAGGTAACTATTACTCTGAAATTAAAATGCACATTGTAATCAACAGAGTGAACAATAAGAAAATAACTCACAGAGTATAATAAAGTTAGAGGAATCATAGTAAACCGAAAAATATTGAACCGAAAAGAAAGCAGTAAAGGAGCAGTGGAGGCACAGAAATGATACAACACAAATAATAAAAACCCAGCTGTGTCAGTAACTCCATTAAAATGGGAATAGACCAACCATTTCTTTCAAAAGGCTGGTAGGCTGAATTAAAGAAAACAGAGCCTAATGTGTATGAAAGATACACTTTACATTCAAAGACTCAAGTGGGTAGAAAGTAAAGAGATGCAAAGTAATATGCGAGCAAATAAACCGTGAGAGTGGGAGTGGCCTGAATGGATATTAGAAAAATAATGGACTTTAAGACAAGAAATGTTACTACAAATGGAGACATTTCAGAACGATAAAAGGGTCAATATATAATGAAAACATAACAATTATAAGTATATATGTTCCTAAAAACAGTCCTAAAATATATGAAGTAAAACTGACATAATTGAAAGAAATAGATAATTTGATAATAATTGGATATTTGAATAGCCCACCATAAATAATTGGTAGAACAACCAGAAAGAAAATTAGTAAGGATATAGAAGATTTGAACACCGCTATCAACCACCTTGGACAAACATTTATTGAACTCTCCACAGATTCCAAAGCGCACAGTCTTTTCAACTGCATATGAAACAGTCTCTAGGACAAACCACATGCTGGGCCATAAAACAAGTCTCAAAAAATTTAAAAAGATTGAAATCATAAAAAGTATGTTCCCTGTCCACAACCCAATTAAATCAGAGATCCACAATAGAAAGAAAACTGGAAAATCCCCAAATATCTGTTAATTAACCAGTATATGTCTAAACAACTCATAAAAAAGAATTACACAGGAAATTTTAAATGTTTTGAACTGAATGAATTAAATATAACACATCCCGATGTATGTTACACAGCTAACACAGTGGTGGGAAGGATCATAGATGTAAATGCTGCACCAGAAAAGAGGGAAGGTTTCCATCCATAGCCTGCGCTTCCACCTTAAAAACTAGAAAACAAGCTAAACCCAAAGCGAGCCTGAGGGAGGAAACTGATTAGAGAGGAGAGCAATGAGAGAGAAAACAAACACGATAGAAAGATCCCAAACAGCTGCTCCCAACACTGGGCCCGGCTTGTGGCCAAACAGCAGACCATTTGGTTTGAAAATTGGTTGAAGTGTAACTGCTCTGAAACATTGCGAGCAGGAGATGCAGAGAAAGGACAGTGGGAGAGCGGTGAGGGTGAGCCAACTACCACACCTACAAGGCTGGGAGGCCAGAGGAAAGCGGCAGTGATCCCAACCCCACACAGGGATCCCTAATTCAGATCAACATAGAAAAGAAGGGGGGCTGGCATAGTATTTGGTAATGGGAATCAGTGGGGATTTGTCCACTTGGGAGATGCAGACCACCCCACCCCAGGCAAAGAGCGATTTGTTTGTAGCAACACCAGCCTGGGAAGTTTGCTCAGATCT